CAAATAGAGGATTTTTGTTCCCATCACATCCAAATGGTAAAATCTCCTAGCAAACAAATATAATAATTCAGTATGTGAACATGAATGTTACACTATGATTTATCTTAGCCAAAAGGCTGAGAAGCAATGAATGTTACAATAAAGTCTATATTTTATAACAGACTGTGGCCACACACTAAAAAAGTATTTAATTTATAATCATTCTGCTTTTCTTCTGAGGCAAAATCAGACTCTAGTGCCAGAGAAGAAAAAGGAGGCATTATTGTTTTGGTAAACTCTTAAGGATAGAGGGCTTAGTTTTCTATTGCTGCAAACTATCACAACTTGGTGATAAGTTTTAAACATGCATTTAGTATCTAACAGTTCTAGAGGTAAGAAGTCTAACACAGGTCTTAGTGGGCTAAAATGAAGATGCTTGCAGAGCTATGTTTCTTCTGGAGGCTCTAGAGGAGAATCCATTTCCTTGACCTACATTCACTCCTTGGCTCCTGACCCTTCTTCCTCCACCTACAAAGCCATCAATTATACATCTCTCTGTGCCATCCTCTCATAGTCAAATATCCTGATACTGACCTTCTGCCTTCCTCTTCCACTTTTAAGGACTCCTAGTGATTACTCTAGGCCCACCAGAATAATCCAGGGCAATCTCTTCCTATCTTGAAGTCATTAGTTAAATCACATCTGCAAATTCCCTTTTACAATATAAGGCAAAATATTCACAGGTCTAGGGATATCTTTGAGGAGATATTATCTTGCCTACCGCAAGGGCAGAGATGGACTGAAGGAAGTTTCAAGTATCAGTAAGAAGGCATAAAAGCTACTGTCTGAAGCATAGGCAATTCCACAGCACAGCTCCAAGCACATCACTGAACTCTACAGTCTGGACCCTGGTAACTTTTCCTCTTAATTCCCACTGCAAGCCGGGCTCGGTGGCTCAGCCTGTAATCCCGCGCCTTTGGGAGGCGGAGGTGAGTGGATTGCCTGAGCCCGCGGGTTCAAGACCCGCCTGGGAAGCCAGACCTCATCTCTACAATAAACCAAAAAATCAGCCGGGTGTGGCAGCGCATGCCTGTAATTCCGGCTACTGGGAAGGCTGAGGCGGAAGGATCGCCGGAGCCCAGCAGGTCGAGGCTACAGTGGCTGGGAGCGGCCAGTGCACTCCAGTCTGGGCAACAGA